AATCTGTCTGAACAGATGGCCAGACAGGCAGGCTCTAAAAAGTATCAATAATGACAAAGTTCTCTTCCTGGATTGAAAATGTGTGTTCTTGTTTGATTTTGTACTGCTGACTTGGGCAGAAGTGGTCCTACCTGCTTAGGTTTCTTTGTGTGATGGATACTTCATGAAATGTCTGGAGGGCACAGTTTCTTTGGCTAGGACAAAGAACGGAGCTTTTGCAGTGATTCACATATCCAAATCTCCACATATCTGCATCTTGAGGGGTTTTAAAAAAACTGACAACGTTTCCGGCAGAAGTCTTGTGACAGCTATCTTGGGGGCCTCTAAATCTTGCAGCAAAGCATCAAGTCTGGACAATGAAGGCAGAAATCCCGGGACCAATAGGTCTGTATGTAGACCTCTTCTGGAATCCCGGATTTTTTCCCCTTGGATTGAAACCCGCTATTTGCTGATGTCTGAAAGTGCAGTTAGAAGCTAAGCAGGGTTAGCCCTGGTTAGTAGTTGGTTAGGGTACTGCCAATGAAAACCAGGCTATGTTTCAGAAGAATGGAATAGGCAAACCACCTCTGAGCATTCCTAGCCAAAGAAAACCCAATGATATTCATGGGGTCACTGCAAGTTCACAGGTGACTTGAAGGTGCCATTCACACTTACCTAAAGCTGATGTTTTCAAGATGGAAAGAGCAGTCTCCATTGTTTGTTTAAAAATAAGTTACTGAGGGTTTGTTTATGTTTTAAAATATTGGATAGATTACAAGTTGAGAAAGTAAATAATATGATCTGTTTGGTTATTGAGGGGATTTTTTTTGTAACCAGGTTCCAGATGAAGCCCATTCCCTATTGTCCCCCATTGCAATTCAGACAAATGTCCAGGTCTTATTTTGTTTAAATGTAGTTGCAGGAGGCTTGTGACATTTTTGTGATATGTTACTAAAACACAACACACAAACATGCAGATTGAGATAGATGGAGATGCATGGCATTAAATGCCTCTTCCTCAGTCTGGTACGACAGCCAGTGTGGTGTAGTGGCTTGTGCATTAGACAATGACTCTGGAGACCAGGAATCAAATCAGTGCTTGGCTATGGAAACCCACTCTAGCCAAGTCACATACTTTTAGTCAAACTGAACAAATCCTGCCAAGAAAACCTTGTGATAATTTCACCTTAAGATTGTGATGTTTTGGAAATGATTTTGAAGGCGCACAACAGTCTGGCACCCGCCAAGTATGGTGAGATAGAACCCAGGTTATCCCAAGCCACCATCACTAGTTATGCTGGCTACAGATTTTTTTTCCGTGTCAGGAGCAACCTGAGAAACTGCAAGTCGGTTCTGGTGTGAGAGAATTGGCCATCTGCAAGGATGTTGCCCAGGGGATGCCTGTATGTTTTTCCATCCTATGTGAGGCTTCTCTTATGTTCCTGCATGAGAAGCTGGAGCTCACCCTGCTCCCTGGATTCGAACATCGACCTTTCGGTCAGCAGTCCTGCCAGCACAAGAATTTAACCTAATGGTTCCCAATCCCTTTTTGACCAGGGACCACTTTGACCACTCTCCAACATTAGTACCAAAAGAGTTATGAATCAGTTTTTGGTCAACTTCAGATTCTGTTTGGTTATTTGAGGTGCTGATTCAGAAAATTGTATTGGATAGACTGCATCAGCTCTAGTTTCTGATACAGGACATATGCCATCTTCTCACCCATAGAAAACCATATTTAATAATCTAGAGCTGATGTGGTCTATCCAATGCAATTTTCTGAATCAGCACCCCAAATAACCCCAGGAACAGGCCTAAAAATGAAGGCACCAAGGTGCCCCTGCTTCCAGCACCACATGGAATGGCTCCATTTGGGGGGAGGAGGAGAAGTTGTCACACCTTTCGTAGGTAGTCAGCATTATCTCCTGACATTTCGCCTGCATCAATGTCAGGCACCCTCAGAGGTTGTGAGGTCTGTTGGAAACTAGGAAAATTGGGTTTATATATCTGTGGAATGTCTTGTGTGGGAGAAAGAACTCTTGTCTGTTTGAGGTAGGTGTGAATGTTTCAACTGGCCACCTTGATTAGCATTTAGTGGCCAAGTAGTTTCAAGGTCTGGCTTCTTACTACCTGGGGGAATCCTTTGTTGGGAGGTGATTAGTTTCCAAGAGACCTCACCATCTCTGAGGATGCCTACCATAGATGCAGGTGAAACATCGGGAGATAATGCTTCTGGAACATGGCCATACAGCCCGGAAACCTCACAACAACCCAATGATATTGGCCATGAAAGCCTTTGACAATACAAAGAAAATGTTAATTAAAAAATAAATTAATATTATAATTCAGCAGTTATAGTTAAAATGAATAGGGTGGCATATATAGACATTTTTGCAGTATCATCTGTATTTCAAAAATGCAAATTTCAAAATCCCATTCCATTTTAGCTCATTCATCCTTCAAGAATACATGCCAAGGCAGGAAATGCAAGGCTTTAGAATCCTTTTCTAAACCAAAAATGCATTTTACAGAAAACCAGGCAGATTTCCAAGGCTACATAAATTATTTTTAAGAGATATTTTGCTTAGCAGCTCGTGAGTATTGCCTGCCACTGAAATGCTGGCGTAGCTTATAACCAGCTCTTTGTCCCATCTACAGCTCTCCAAACCTCCCAAACAGCACTGATACTGACCTTTCTGCCTGGGAGTTCTGGGTGCTATTGCTCCAAAAAGTTACATTTCCAAGTTCTTGTGATGTAGAATGATGGTTTAAAATACTTACTGAAAACAGCATGATTTAAAATGTGCATGCCATAGTAAACCTTGACCAAGAAGATAAATTAGGTATCCAAACATTTAAAATGAAGCTTTATTTGGTTTAAGACATCATTTAGTTGTACACAGTTACAAATGACAACTGCATATGTGACAGTAAAATTAATCACCTAAAACATATCGACTTCATTGTTTGGCCCACAAAGCATATAGATGTTAAATACAAGTACCTGCTCTTCAATAAATAAATTGCATATTCAACAACAAAACAAAGTCAACCAAAAGTTTTTTAAAAATCAGAGGAGCATTGGTCTTGCAACACAGGGAACTCTCCATTTATTTTCTTTCTCTCTCAACTATGACAGTTGCTTGTTCATCAGCAGAATTGTTTCACTACACCTTGTATGTCCCAGGCCTTTGCAATCTACACTATAACATTATATGAACCTGAGAAATCCCACATGTAGGGTGGAGATAGGGAACAGAGGAGGAGAGATGTAGTTTCATGGAAAACTAAGAGACTGTCAAATCTATTTTTCCATCCCATTTCCTTAGCTCACTATCCTAAGACAGAGGTGAGAATTGTGGAGACCTTCAGAATCGATTAAACTGTAGCTCCCAGCATTCCTCACCATTGACTATGCTGGGGTCAGGCTGCTGGGAGATGGAGTTTATCAACTTATGGACAACCACTCCATTCCCACCCCTAACCAAAAAAAGCCACCCTTCTGCTTTCCAGACCTCTATCAAGCACATCTTCAACAAAGCTTTCCAAAGTTACTTTTAGGGATTGCAATTCCCAGAATCCTCCAGAAGTAACTTTTCCAAGCTCTGTAATCTAGCAGTCTCATTTCATGTCAACAGTCTAGAATTTAGAGTACACCAGAAATTATTGTGTTCCACATGCTTCTAGATCCGACGGCTTCCAGATGTTTGGGCCTCCAGCTCCCAGATTGTCCAATGGCCAGGAATTCTGGGAGCTGAAGGCCAAAACACTGAGAGGGCCACAGCCAATTGGGATTAAACTGGGCAGTGCTCTCTTAGTCATGATTGAGCTTCAAGCATTTACCTTGCTCCAGCACATTGACCTCCACACGCACACGCACACACACTTTTATGTAAAATTAGCTTTTTTCTGTTGCTTTACACAGGACCAAACAGAGGGATAGCTCACAGGCACCATTGGAAATGTCCAACCAATGGGAATGCAAATGATGACAGCAGCTTCGCTTGTTATCTGACTTCTGGTGTATTCTGAGGACCAGCATTATATTTATTATTGTATCCATGTAATTTCCTAGAAATTTACTGGAGATTGGGAGCAAATGACTTGCAGATTGTCACCAGTCCACCGACTATTGCTTTGAGTCATGCTGAGCTAACAAATCTGGAATGTTTGGAATCACTGTTAGTCGGAAGCTCTCGTAGCAGTTCAATAGTAAACTTTAAGGCAGTGGTTCTCAACCTCTGGGTCCCCAGATGTTTTTGTCTTCAATTCCCAGAAATCCTAACAGCTGGTATACTGGCTGGGATTTCTGGGAGTTGTAAGCCAAAACCCAGAGGTGGAGAACCACTGCTTTAAGGGAACTCTCCAAGGTCCTTAATCTATTTAGGAGCTTCAGCACCTTGGACAACTCTTGAAAGTCTAGAGCAGTGGTTCCCAAACTTTGGTCCTCCAGGAGTTCTGGACTTAATTCCCAGAAGCTCCAGCCAGCTTGGCCAACAGTCAGGAATTCTGGGAGCTGAAATACAAAACATCTGAAAGACCAGCATTTGGAAATGACTGTCCTAGTCATATTTGTCAGACCACTGACATGGAATCTTATGACCACCAATGCACTGAATGGTGGGAGGGGGCCCAAATTAGTATCAAATTATGGTGCGCTTTATCGTAGGGTTTTCTTGGCAAAATGATTCAGAGAAGGTTTGCCAGTGTTTCCCTTTAAGCCTAAGAGAGTGTAACATACAGAAGGCCATCAATGGATCTTCATGGATTAGGATTCTGGTCTTCCACAATCCCAGTCCAACACTCAAACTACTCACTATGTTGGCTTTTTCCCAGTTGAGTTCCTTAAGTATTAGATTTCTTTTCCTATACTTTGTCAATTGCTATTTGCTTCATGGACCTCCCTAACTTCATGCCCACATTTTGTGTGACCACTAAGAGAGGCTTTATCACTCTTGACAGTAAACCTTGTTGACATGACCGTGGAAGCCCTTTTGAGTGGATGGGTTGTTGCGTTTGGAAACTCCTTTCCCGTGCCTCCAAGAAACCAGAGCAAAGCAGAAGAGGAAAAATGTCACCATGAATGAAACAATTCTCAGGCTTGCTTGTTTGAAACTATGCATTAACTCATTTCCTTCATTCTGTCAAGAGTGTACACGTGCAACTGTATTAGTATACTCACTGGCCATAGTCATGATGACTCAAGTCAAAAGATCTACGACATTGAACTCTAATATTAAATAATATCTAACTTTCTGAAACACTGTACTTAAGACAGCTACAAATATAGGCTATAACCATCCATGATTTAATTCCAACTAAAGCAATGGTTTTCAAACTGGATACTGAGGAACCTTCACATTCTTTGGGGAGGTATCTGGGAATCTTTAATGACAATATCAATGGTGGTGGACAAAATGACCTCAACAGAATGGTTACACACCACGACTGAAATCTGATGATCTCCACAACTGTAGGGAAGTGTTCTCTGTATTTTAGAGGAGCGTTTCCCAAGCTTGCAAATATTTTTTTGGATTCCAGATTCCTGGAAGCTCTAGCCACCACGACTAATCATGAGGCACACTGACAACTGATAATCCAATGACATCTAAGAATCTTTAGTTGGAGAATTGCTATTCTAGACTGTCATCTCAGCCATACTCTTTCACACTACACAGTAAAAGCACTTTGATATTACATTACTGCTGATCAAAAGGTCAGTGGTTTGAATCCGAGGAGCGGGGTGAGCTCCCATCTGTCAGCTCCAGCTTCTCATGTGTGGACATAAGAGAAGCCTTCCCTACAGGATAGTAAAACATCTGTCAGCTCCAGCTTCTCATGTGTAGACATAAGAGAAGCCTTCCCTAAAGGATAGTAAAACATTTGGGCATCGCCTAGGCAATGTCCTTGCAGACGGCCAATTCTCTCGCACCAGAAGTGACTTGCAGTTTCTCAAGTTGCTCCTGACACGAAAAAAACCAAACACTACCATGCCACTTTTGGAGCCAGTATTTGTACTCCGAAGCTCTCTAGTAAAAAATTCTAAATGTCTTGCCAAACTATAAATAGAAAGATTCCACAGGGTGGATTTATGGCGGTTAAAGTAATGTCAAAACGCTGTCACTGTGCAGGATGAAAGATGAGCTGAGGAAACATAATCAGTGGTCTGCATGAGATGAAAATTCAGCTGGTCCTCTCCGTCTGCAGCTTTAACTTTTGCTGATTTGATTAATATGATCTAAGAGTCCTGAAGTGACTATATAGTCAAGAGGACATTGGCCATGGAGCCACGCTGCAGGACCTTGAGATTCCTAAAGAGATGCTCTCTCAGATAAACCAAATAGCCTTTAGTGGCAGTCATGCACATCTAACCCCACAAAAGGGCCTACTGCAGTGGTTCTCAACCTGTGGGTCCCCAGGTATTTTGGCCCACAACTCCCAGAAATCCCAGCCAGTTTACCAGTTTTTAGGATTTCTGGGAGTTGGAGGCCAAAACATCTGGGGATCCACAGGTTGAGAAACACTGGCCTACACCATAGGCATAAGTAGAAAATAGAGGAAACTCTGTGCAAGATTTGTGGTGAATCAGCAAACATTCCCAGCTCACAGTGTAGCTAAAAGATTGCAGCTCCTTCCATGCTTATCTGCCTACTCAATCAATGCAAGTTGCATATCTTTGGATGTCAATATATTCTAGTTATAAAATGGGACCGCCTGCTTAGAAGTCCTGACATAACTTGCCCTTCCAAGACTAAAAACCATTTGAGTTTGTGTAGGTTTTTCGGGCTATATGTCCATATTCTAGAAGCATTCTCTCCTGACGTTTCACCTCCATCTATGGCAGGCATCCTCAGAGGTTGTGAGGATGCCTGTCATAGATGTAGGCAAAACATCAGGAGAGAATGCTTCTAGAACATGGCTATATAGCCCCAAAAAACTACAACAACCCAGTGATTCCAGCCATGGAAGCCTTCAACAATACATTAAAAACCATTTGTTGTAGTGGTCGTCTACTAATTGATTTTTTTGTCTTTCGAATATCATTTATGAGTATGAATTTGTCGACCGGGCCTGTTTGCAGCTCTGCTAGTAATTCTGATGCAGATGTGTTCTTGTATGTGCAGAACCCATAGCTGCGCATTACTTATGCATGACTCGGGTGATTGAATGCATCGGTGAATGACCATTTTGATCCAAAAATTATTATGAAATTTGCTGGGGTGGATCTAATAGATCTCACAAACTCAATAAATGCTTGAATGAGTTTTTAAACTAATACTCTCATAACCCCCTGCCCAGTATGGCCAGTAACCATACTGGAATGGTTGGTAGGATGGGTTCATGAAGCTCAGGCCCAAAATAATAACTCTCCAAGTTCTTTCCTGAAGACTGCTCTCCCTTGCATTAGCTCATGCTCCAAATTCCCTGCAACGACTCAGGGTTGAACACATAATGAGTGAATGTTGCCCTCCAACAGAAGAGTTTGAAAACCATTGCCCTTGAGTGAAACAGAATTAACCCAGGAACTTATTTGGCCTATGTTCAATGAAAGAATACTACTTCCATCCTAAGGAGAAGGTCGGGGTAAGGAGATCCGCACCCCAAGCCCCTAAAGAAACATACGAACGACACATACAGCAGCATCAACGTTGAAAGACTTGGTTCTGGTTTTCAAGAACTGCCATCTCCAGTCCTCTCTTTGCGAGCCTGGATCATCTCTTTCGGAGCATGCTTCCGCTCAGTGACCAAACCCAGCCAAAACATGAAGTCAATGAACCACGTGGTTGGGTTGAATTTCAAGCCCAGCTCACTGGCCGAATAATCAAACGGAAAGGTGTGGTGGTAATTGTGGAAACCTTCACCTAGAAAAAAATAACCCAGAAGTAAAGAAGAATAGGGTCAAAGGCAGTAGAAAACAAATGGAGATAGATAACTTCAACAGGTTCTAAAAGATAGATTATTTTTCAAGCATTCGTGGAACTATTCTGGAAATCAGCTAAGAAATAACAAAGTGATTATAGGGCTATTCTGTGTTTTCCGGGCTGTATGGCCATTTTCCAGAAGCATTCTCTCATCATATCCAATCTCCACACAATCATGTTCAGAAAGAAATGTTTGTTTAAAGAAAAACAAGTGAATTATTTAAATTATGATTGTATACATGTCTATTGATGGATAACTTCCATTGAGTCCAGTAGGCATCTATGTATTTCGGATGGCAGTCTTTAAGTCAGTGGTTCTCAACCTTCCTAATGCCGCGACCCCTTAATACAGTTCCTAATGTTGTGGTGACTCCCAAACATAAAATTATTTTTGTTGCTACTTCATAACTGTAATTTTTGTTACACTTATGAATCGTAATGTAAATATCTGACATTCAGAATATATTTTCATTCATTTATCCAAATTTTGCACAAATACCCGATACACCCAAATTTGAATACTGGTGGTGTTGGAAGGAATTGATTTTGTCATTTGGGAGTTCTAGTTGCTGGGATTTATAGTTTACTTCAAATCAAAGAGCATTCCGAACTCCACCGATGATGGAATTGGACCAAACTTGGCACACAGAGCTCCCATGACCAACAGAAAATACTGGAAGGGTTTGATGGGCATTGACCTTGAATTTTGGAGGTGTAGATCTTAAACTCCTTCTATGTCCCACCTCGGAGTTTAAGATCTTCTGGGGAGGCCCTGCTCTCGGCCCCACCTTTATCACAAGTGAGACTGGTGGGGATGAGGGACAGGGCCTTCTCAGTGGTAGCCCCTCACCTGTGGAATTCACTCCCCAGGGAAATTAGGTAATCGACATCCCTCCTTTCCTTCAGAAGGAAGTTGAAACATGGATATAGGACCAGGCCTTTGAGTAATCTGGCAGACTGACAAGGTAATGATGACCAGAGATTGGAAAGGACTATGATAATGCTGAATGGATTTATGGATTTTTAGAACTCAGTGAATGTTAGCCACTAGATTGGCATCGAATTGTGCCGGTTGTAAGCCGCCCTGAGTCCCCCCTAGGGGGTTGAGAAGGGCGAGGTAAAAGTACTCGAAATAAATAAATAAATAAATAAATAATAGTTCACCTACATCCAGAGAGCACTGTGGTCTCAAACAATGATGGATCTGGACCAAACTTGGCACGAATACTCAATATGCCCAAATATGAACACTGGTGGAGTTTGGGGAAAATGGATTTTGATATTTGGGTGTTGTAGTTGCTGGGATTTATAGTTCACCTACAATCAAAGAGCACTCTGAACCCAGCCCACAATGGATTTGCACTAAACTTAGCACACTATCTACATGGCCAACATTGAATGCTGGTGCAGTTGGGGGGGGGGGGTGATTTTGAATTCTGGGATTTGTAGGTCACCAACTCCAAAAAGGAAGAGAAGGACAGGTGGAGAGATCTTCAGCCTTCTCTGCCAAAAGTGTTCCTAAGAAGACCAGATATATGTGTTTTCTGATGGTCTTTGGTGACCCCTCTGAAACCTCCCTCGCAAACTCCCCAGGGGTCCCAACCCCCAGGTTGAGAAACACTGCTTTAGGTGAAATGAGTCACACACTTATCACTAAGAATGTAAATGTGATATATGTTTATCTTGCCATCCTTCTCACTGATGCTGCAATCATAAACCCAATTAATATGGAGACAATCCCAGTGGTCCCAGGGCTGATTCTGAGTTACTGTGCACAGGATTTCATTGTGAAGTTTTTCTCTGGGCTATCAGCAAATTAAAGAAATTATAATTGCTCCAGCTTTGCCAATTAAACTGATAAATCAAAACTGTGAAAAAAGAGACACGGAAAATCTTAATCTTTTAAAGAGTATTTTTAGCCGATGTGCGTTTGGGTCATTGCACTCACTCATGGAGAAACTTGTAATAGGAAAGGAAAAGTAATACCACGAAAAGGTGACGCCTATTCCTGTAGCTTTTATAATGACATCTATCTATCCATCCATGTACAATTGTATTACCTATTAAGGAGGGACATGTATTTCAATTTCTCAGCATTTAATTAAGGATATAACGGAGATATTTAAAGCTCTCTGCTGGAAAGCCGAAGCCTATGCACAGGATTCCTTGAGATGAAGCCACATATAACAATCAAAATTGCATGGAGCTGGTATTTATTCTAGTGAAGGAGAAAAGTCAGAAAGTAAGCATCAGCATGTCTACACAGTATGATCAATGTACTTTGACACCACTTTAACTGCCATTGCTCAGTGCTATGGGGTGACGGGGGTTGTAATTTTTCCCCTCTGGAATGTGTCCAGAGGAGGGCGACTAAAATGATCAAGGGTATGGAGAACAAGCCCTATGAGGAGCGGCTCAAAGAGCTCGGCATGTTTAGCCTGAAGAAGAGAAGGCTGAGGGGAGATATGATAGCCATGTATAAATATGTGAGAGGAAGTCACAGGGAGGAGAGAGCAAGCGTGTTCTCTGCTTCCCTGGAGACTAGGACGCGGACAATGGCTTCAAACTACAAGAAAGGAGATTCCATCTGAACATGAAGAAGAATTTCCTGACTGTGAGAGCTGTTCAGCAGTGGAAATCTCTGCCCTGGAGCAATATTCCTGCTTCTTGGCAGGGGGTTGGACTGGATGGCCCATGAGGTCTCTTCCAACTCTATGATTCTATGATTCTATGATAAGTCATTTTGCCTTCTCTGCCAAAGATCTCTTGTGCCTCACCAAACTACAAATCACTGGATTCTATAGCATTAAACCAGGGCAGTTTAAGTGTTGTTAAACTGCTTTCGTTCCATAGTGTAGATACACTCCTTGAGGCCTGAATGTTATAGAAACGTGTGGTTGAAAATAGAAAATGTTCTAAGTTCCTAATGATTTCAATTTAAGTTAAGCACGTGTAAAGCATCCTGACCCATGTTGCAAAACATCTTGACATATTCTGCTGATATGAAGCTAACTAGGGCACTGAAACAAGATACAATAATAAGTTTGGAAACAGTGGTTGCTCCTTGTTGGTGTTTTGTTGCTCAGTTGTTGCCATGGCCTGCTTTTCTAAGGCCCCTTCTATACTGCCATATTATCCAGATCATCAAAGTAGATAGTCCACATATGGATTATATGAGTCTACACTACCATATAATCCAGTTCAAAGCAAATAATCTGGATTTTATATGGCAGCGCAGAAGGGGCCAAAGACTTCCATATAACATTGGTTTAATTGCTTGTTTTGGGGTAGAAAAGGGACTACCAAATCAAAATCCACTTGGCACTACGTTAATAAATAAAGTGCCAAGTTCAATGTACTTTTGAACTGGTTTGTTGTAGGTTTTTTCGGGCTATATGGCCATTGTCTAGAATGCCTCTAGACCATGGCCATATAGCCCGATAAAACCTACAACAACCCAGTGATTCCGGCCATGAAAGCCTTCGACAATACTTTTGAACTGTAAAGAGTTCATCTCCTTCTGCAAGCACACCTTCAATTTGAATTTTTTTGGTTTCTGAGGGACAGCAAAAGGGAAGCATTGTGAACAAAGCTATAGATTTCCAAGATCCCAAAACTGGTTCGGTATCAGTCATTCTTTTGAGAAGAAACAGGGAAAGGAAGACGATCAAGCAGTCTATGACCTTTATTAAATGCAAAAGACCAAGAGGATGCCACTCAAACAAAAAAAAGGGGATGCAAAAGTGGATTTATTCCAAGTGTTGGTCTCTAGTGGAAACTTAGAATGCATTGAGTTATGTAGGTCTGTTTGCTAAGGAAAACCATGAAAGAAAGTGTTGACAAAAATCAAATAGTGGGCAGTGGACCGGAAATCCTGAATTTGAACTAAATGTTTTATTGAACAGCTACAAAGCTGCAGAGTGAGCTGATGTCTTAAAGCAAAGAAGTAACAGATAAGGCTCACAGCAATGTCCAATTATTTTCAAAGAATCCGAGAAAGTTACTTTTTTGAAGTACAGTTCTCAGAATCCCCCAGATGACTTCTTAGAGTTCTGGTTCATAAAAAAGTAACTTTTCCAAGCTCTAGGGCTATACATTGTTGGAAAAAGCAACCTTCTCAAGCCTCCACTAGTTCTTTGTTATGTATATAATTGTTTACTGTATTATATGATTGTATTGGTTTGCAATTTTATCTAACCTCTTTGTTGTGAGAAGGGCTACAGACCAAGATGGTTTTAAATGGTGCATTTTAATATTGAGATAAATGTTTTAATGTTTATTTATGCATATAATGAATTCTTGTCCCAGCATTGAATGTTTGCCATCTATATGCTGTGCTCCGCCCTGAGTCCTCTTCGGAGTGAGAAGGGCGGAATATAAATGTTTTAAATAAACAATAAATAAATGTGATCAGGTCTGGACATGTTCAGGACTAAGGCTCCATTTTAGATAAGTGTTTACTTTGAGAAGCCATATAGAGAAGTGTGTATTTGCATCAGAAGCAGTGAGTACAGGTGATTGCTTTAGACTTCAGTAGAGATAGAAGCTATTAGACTCTTAGAGTTAGTAGAAGCCATCTGTTTGCATCAGGAGCAGTGACTGCAGTTATACAGTTTAGACTTCAGTAAGATGCAGAGGCGGCCCTAGGTAATTTTCAATGGTAAGCAAACAGTATTTTGGCACACACACACCCTCCAACCAATTACTGATATATATTTTCTGTTCGTCGTGGGAGTTCTGTGTGCCATATTTGGTTCAATTCCATCATTGGTGGAGTTCAGAATGCTCTTTGATTGTAGGTGAACTATACATCCCAGTAACTACAACTCCCATATGTCAAGGTCTATTTTCCCCCAGAGCACCCCTGGGCAAAATCAACTATGCTGCGAATGCTTACTTCGCGTAATGGCTTGAGCCGCCCCCTGGTAAGATGTATGCATAAAGACTCCATTGGGCTATAGACTATTGTTTCTAAGGAAGATGCTGTGTGTTACCTACACAGAAAAACTACTTTAAATCCTATTGTAACTGGATTCATAAGCAACGTGCCTGTATGCTGCATACATGAAATTTTGTGAGTAAATCAACTCTGTTACTTTAAAAGGAGATTGTTTAATTTGGTCTCTGGGGAGCGTGATTTAAAGGCAAATATATTTTAAGGAAGAGTAGATGTTTCTGGGCCACTTCAAAGAATACTTCTGAGACTCTGCTGAATATATATTTATAAATTAAATATATATTTATAAATATATATTTAATATTTATAGTGGAATATAAATGCTATAAATAAATGTTTTTGTGATTGGCATGTATATAAATGGAATATAAATGTGTGTGTGTATTTGTGTGTGTGTGTATATATCTATATAATTGTGCATTGGCATGTATATAAATGGAATATAAATGTTGTGTGTGTGTATTTGTGTGTGTGTGTGTGTATAATTGTGCATTGGCATGTATATAAATGGAATATAAATGTTGTGTGTGTGTGTATGTGTGTGTATATATATATATATTTATATAACTAAAAATGTAATGTTCGTTTGTGGGATTAACATAACTCAAAAACCACTGGATGAAATGACACCAAATTTGGACACAATACAAGTCTCAGGCCAACGAGTGACCATCACTCATAAAACAGTGAAAAACATAGCAGAAGGGACTTAAAAAGCCAAAAAATAAAAATTATATTACAATGCAGTCACAAAACCACATATATACACATATACACAAATATATACACTCACATATACACAAATATATATACACACAAAACACATATACACAGACTGGGCCACAGCAACGCGTGGCAGGGGATGGCTATATGTGTGTGTGTGTGTGTGTGTGTGTGCATTGGCATGTCTTTGTCCCTGGCAGTTCAAAGACATGCCTTTGTACATCAGTTTAACAAGTGAGACACCGTTGCCTTGCATGAATGCTGGTTAACATCATTTTTCAAAAGGTTGTGACTTCTAACAAGGTCATACTTTCCTTGACAAGTGGTTTGCCAAAAAGGTTATGAATCCCATTTCCCAAATGGTTATGGAGATTCACAACTGATAAAACATTATTATTGATAATAATACTGATAAATTAGTATTATTATTATTATTTGAAACACAACAAGATGAGTCCACAGCAGACACTCTGCTGGCTGTTGAATTGGATCACACGTCGGACACTTCCCAAGTGTCTAGGACTGTGTGATGTATCGGCGAATAATGCATGCGCATCCCAGTAAGGTGGCCTTTTGCAGTTGGCAGATGGTAATCTTGTCAGTGCCGATTGTGTTCAAGTGCAGGCCAAGGTCTTTAGGCACTGCACTCAGTGTGCCGATCACCACTGGGACCACCTTTACTGGCTTGTGCTAGATTCTTTGCAAATTAAATTATTATTATTATTATTATTATTATTATTATTATTATTAGTGCTTACCAAAAGGTTACGGCATCATTTTGCCAAAATACACAAGGATATGCCATGAAAGTTTAAGTATCGAGTCTCCTCAAATTGCAAGGATAAATTAAGGGTGGCATATAAGGTTTATATGCAGTAGCCAACTATAAACAGGGGACAGGGTCCTTTGTCTCACCCTGGTCATTCCACAGATATATAAACCCATTTTTCCTACTTCCAACAGACCTCACTACCTCTGAGGATGCTTGCCATAGATGCAGGCGAAATGTCAGGAGAAAAATTGCCTCCAGAACATGGCCATACACCCGGAAAACACACAACAACCCAGTGATCCCGGCCATGAAAGCCTTCGACAATACATATAAATAAATGGTGTGTTGTCAGCCATAGTTTCATGTTTTAGCAACGTAAAGTCTATTTTAAAGAGAAGCATTGTTGGTAGTAGAGAGGTAGCTCAACCCATTTTAGTTTTTTCCTACTAAAATTTTCCATTATGAGCCTTGTTTTTGTACAGCTTTTCAAGGCAGCCACTTGAACAGACTGTCGCCCTCTGGAGTCCTCTTTCCTGGAACAAACCAACTGAGCAACATCTGGAGTCAAATCCATCCGTTTCCTGCAATTGTCATGTAGGGAGTCCCTTGTGGTCCCTGCAATTCCCAATAAAGCCTGGGACGTTAAGATAAAATTGTCTAGCCTGGAATCTGGGTCTCTCGAGGAGCTCAGGCAAAGGCATAAGAAGCGAGCAGCAATGTCTTGGGGAGGAGAAACATTCTAAGAATAGACCAGCAAGAAGTTCAATATATTCGAGGCTGGCCCAAGACATTTTACTGTTTGAGGCAGGTCAACAAATGGTTTCACCCTCTCCTTCCCAGAACCTAATTTCAGTCAAATTATTTTGGCATACAAGGCAGAAAATCCACAAGGACATCTCTCCATCCCTGGCAGGGAAAAAAACTCTGGAATCTTTTGATGACACACTCAAAAATTTGACATCTGAAGCAGCTGCTTCATTCCTCCTAATGATAGGGATGACCTGCATTATTCATTCATAACAAAGCTAACAAAGCCTCTGACAATGCAGCATCTTTGTACCAGGGCTTTGCCAGTTCTCTTTTTCTCTTTTCTGGTGTGGTGTTGCAGCAGTGTGTCTGTAGTAAAAAATGACTTAAAATTTGAGTTGGAGAAGAATGGGAGGACGTTAAAAATTATTAGGTAAAGGTTGTCCCCTGACATTAAGTCCAGTCATGTCTGACTCAAGTGTGGTGCTCATCTCCATTTCTCAGCCAAAGAGCCGACGTTGTCCATAGACACCTCCAAGGTCATGTGGCCGGCATGACTGCATGGAGTGATGTTACCTTCCCGCCGGAGCAGTACCTATTGATCTACTCACATTTGCATGTTTTCGAACTGCTAGGTTGACAGAAGCTAGGGCTGACAATGGAAGCTCACGCCACTCCCCAGAATTGAACCTGTGACGTTTCAGTCAAAAAGCTCAGCGCTTTAACCCACTGCACCACCGGGGGCTCCTAAAAATTATTATTGACATGGATTAATTAAACGAGAGATAGTGGTCTCATGGGGTTGTACTGAAATGGAAACATTTTATTAACTAAGGCCTCTTCTACACCTATAAAATCCAGGTTATCTGCTTTGAACTGGATTATATGGCAGCATAGACTCATATAATCTGGTTCAAAGCAGATAATATGGATAATCCGGATTATATGGCAATGTAGAAGGGGTCTCAATTAGACCTGCCTCAGGGACCATCTATACTGTAGAATTAATGCAGTTTGATACCACTTTAACTCCCATGGATAATGTGAGATATAGTTTTGCAAGGCTTTCTCTGGTAAAATACAAATCTCAAGATTGCATGTCAGTTAAAGTGGTGTACAGGCACCCTTCGTTTGCAGCGTATTTGTATTCAGCTACTTAAGTGATAAAGTGGTTCTGAAATTCCTTGGGAAAATAAAGAGTTGGAAAGTTCAAAACAAAGCAAATTTCTCCACCTTCCAGCAGTGGTTACTTTATTGTCTTACAGCAGATTTAGAGTATGGTTAGAAGTCTTTGAAGAAGCATATCCAGAGCTATCCTTGAAGAAAAATGGTTTCTTAGTGAGGGCCATGGTTGGCACAGCAGGTTAAACCATCAGCCACAGAAAATCTTGCCAGCTAGAAGGTTGACAGTTCAAACCACAGGTTGGGGTGAGCTCCCGCCATCAGCCCTAGCTTCTGCTTACCTACCAGATCAAAAACAGCAATGTGATTAGATAAATAGGTACTGCTTTGGAGGGGAGGTAAAAAGGCTCCCCTGAAGACATGCTGGCAATTTGATCAGGAAGGCATCCATGGACAACAGACTCCTCAGCATGGAAAATGGAACAACAGCACCTCCCCATGGCTGAGTTGAGCACAGCTTCCATATGCCAGAGATGGAAAAGAGGGGATTGTCTATGTACTGTCTGTCTTTGTTGTTAATTGTATAACAGCATTGAATGTTTGCCATGTATGTATTCTGTAATCCGCTCTGAGTCCCCTCAGGTAGAGTGGAATATAAATAAAGCATATTATTATTATTATTATTATTATTATTATTATTATTATTGCTTACCAATGGCTCCTATAGTGACCAAGGCATTCTCCCGTGGGTTGATGTTCTTGTCATAGGGCCGGTTTCCATACATGTGAGCAGCGCTATTGACCAGCCAAGCGACGTTGAGCGAAACCGTGTACCGGAGGATAGAAGCCAGAAAGTACGAATTCCACAAGCTCTCTTTCCAGAAGTACCAAGGCACAATCGTAGGAATGACAAAACACAGCAGTATGACGGAAGCCACATAGTGCCTGGGAAGAAAGTAAAGCATGGTGAGGTTGCATCATACAAGACAACATTTCTTCATTACTTGGAAAAGTTACTTTCCTGAACTAAAGCTTCCTAAATCCCCTCAACCAGAGCGTGTTTGTATATTCCTGAAAGAAGAATTTATTTTCTTTGTGTTTCTTGAAATCCAAGTTAGCTGAGTTAGGAAAAAATGTCATGTGAGTTTTCCTGGCTGTGTGGCCATGTTCTAGAAGGATTCTCTCCTGACATTTTGCCCACATCTATGGCATCCTCAGAGGTTGTGGGGATGTCCTAAGGACCATCCCTTTTTTGTAAATGTAAGCCAAAGAAGAGGTATTTTTGGCTAGAATTCTGATTATGTTATGCTGTGTATTTTATATAATACTAGCTCAGGGACTCAGCGGTGCCCAGGTTATTTGAGAAAGGCATTGTTTGTTTTGAGAAGTTTGGTAATATCAATTTGGTAATGTGTAATGGTTGCATTGGTCTCTGGAAGTGAGTGAAGGCACTGCAAGTCCCATCATCTGTGGCAAGTTTGGTCCAGATCCATTGTTGGTTGTGTTCACAGTGCTCTCTGGATAAGAGTGAACTACAACTCCTATAAATCAAGGTCATTTCCCCCCAAACCTGGTCATGGGGGTTTTGCGTGCCAAATGTGGTCCAGGTTCATTATCAAAGGGGGTCACAGTGCTCTGCTTTGATGCACAGTGAACTATAACTTCCATCCTGTTGAGTCAGTCCCCCAAACTCCTCCAGTCTATTCAGTTGGTGATCAATTCCTCTGTGTTTTCTGTGTGCTGTAGGAAAGGGTTAAGGGAGAGGCAGTGGGCAGGGTCATGCAAATTCCACACAAGGAACCCTGGGATGCCTGCCTGTGTTGTCGGAAACATGTCAAATCTAGGAAGAAATTCTCCCCGAATGAAAGCATTCCTTGGGTGGTGGGCCATAATGTTTGGGCAGGACATTGGCAGTTTTTCGGCTACACGTTCATGGTTCTCATTATAACCTGCAATGTCAGTTGAGGGAATGCCTTTGGAGGCTTCTCAGCACTTGGAACTACAGCCTGTTTGTGGAGGTGGGAGGGTGTCTGTGTAAGTGGACACCTCCGCCACATACGCACATACACATTTTTCACTTTTATTATGTGCATATGTATGTATGTATGTATGTGTATAGATAAGATATATATTTCTGTCTATGTAGAAGTCGTCTATTTATCAGTTTTTTAAAAAAAAAATCTCAAATATGCCAAACCTTAATTTATTCTTTTTCACATCAGTTAAAAAGTAGTATTGGATGTATGCTGGTTACTTTTTCTTTTAATATACCAGTTGAAAACTTTTTCTATAACTGTTATTGGATGTAGTATGATTGGTTTTGTGTAAAACTCAGTTTTTCACCTAAAATATCCTATTTATTTATTTATTGTGTTAGGAGCGAACCAAAACAGTTGTATTGCATTAAAAACAAGCAAACAAAACACAAAGTTTGCAGGCTTGGTTTTCTATTAAATATCCAATTAAAACTATTTTAAAAAATATACATGGTGGAAGGATGTTTGAAGGTGCATTTATCCTTTGGGTTGTTATAAATACGTTGAAATTGTTTTCTCCTGCACTGAGCCAGAAGTTGAACTTGATGGCTCGTGGAACCTATTCCAACTTTATGAATCTATGATTCTATGAAACAAACTTTTCACGAGATCCAAGGCAATGGTTTTCTATCAAAAATATGCTGTGTGAGCCATTAAAATACCTAATCAATACATTTATTAAACTCAGGCATCTTAAATAATACGAGACATGGTAGCTATGAAAATCAGTAGAATGAAAGAACTTATTTTCTTTGTGTTTGGTTCTTTTAGCTGGCCAACCAGGGGCAGCCTTCAGGACAACCCCTTTCCCTCTGACCCCTAATTCTGCGGCAGGAAAAATGTAGCCATGCTGACGAATCTAGAGCAGTGGTCCTCAACCTTCCTAATGCTGCGACCCCTTAATACAGTTCCTCACATTGTGGTGACCCCCAACCATAATATTATTTTTGTTGCTACTTCAAAACTCTAATTCTGCTACTGTTATGAATCGTAATGGAAATATCTGATATGCAGGATGTATTTTCATTCACTGGACCAAATTTGGCACAAATATCCGATACAGCCAAATGTGAATACTAGTGGGGTGGGGATTGATTTTTGTCATTTCAGAGTTATAGGTGTTGGGATTTGTAGTTCACCTACAATCGACATGTTCTGAACTCCACCAATGATGGAATTGAGCCAAACTTGGCACACAGAACTCCCATGACCAACATAAAATACTGGAAGGGTTTGGTGGGCACTGACCTTGAGTTTTGAAGTTGTAGTTCACCTACATCCAGAGAGCACTGTCGACTCAAACAATGAAATGTCTGGACCAAATTTGGCACAAATACTCAATATGTCCAAATGTGAACACTGGTGGACTTTGGGGAAAATAGACCTTGACATTTGGAAGTTGTTGTTGCTGGGATTTATAGTTTACCTACAATCAAAGAACATTCTGAACTCTACCAATGATGGAATTGAATCAAACTTGGCACACAGAACTTCCGTGACCAATAGAAAATACTGGAAGGGTTTGGTGGGCATTGACCTTGAGTTTTGGAGTTGTAGTTCATCTACATCCAGAGAACACTGTGGACTCAAATCAATGATGGATCAGGGCCAAACTTTGCATGAATACTCAATATGTCTAAATGTTCACACTGGTGGAGTTTGGAGAAAATAGACTTGACATTTGGGAGTTGTAGTTGCTGGGATTTATAGTTCACCTACAATCAAAGAGCATTCTGAACTCCGCCAATGATAGAATTGGGCCAAACATCCCACACATAACCCCCATAACCACCAGAAAATACTGTGTTTTCTGAAGGTCTTTATCGATCCCTTTGATACCCCCTGGTGACTCCTTCAGGGGTCTCAACTCCCACGTTGATAAAAGCTGATTTAGAGATTTATAGAAAAGGAATCAGGTTTTAAAAAAAAGCATTTTTTTTGTATTCTTGGTTCTCTCCCTTCCATGGAAGTTCTGTCCCTCTAACCTCGATAAATATGGAGTACAGATTGTACTCTTCAATCTCCCCGTCTCTAAATTTCACTTACTTTCGTTGAAATATAACGACAGGGTCATTCAGCAGGTCACTGAAGTCCAGCTTGCTTCCTTTCTCAATTACATCCCGATGTTTCCGGACAAATAGCCAGCCAATGTGGGAGAAAAAGAAGCCCCGCTGGGCATTGTGGGGGTCCGCATCTGTCTCAGAGTATTTGTGATGCACTCGATGGTCTCGGGCCCATTCGAAAATATCATTCTGCAAGGAAGAACAGCAGGGAAGCCTTAGTGATTTCGATCGGAGTCAACCTAAAGCCTTTTTATCATCCGAAGGAGAATAGCTAATAACCCACCCTCTCATTGCTGTTTTTCTGGCAAGGCTTATTCAGAGGGGGAATGATCATTGCCTTCCTCTGAAGCTGAGAGAGTATGACTTGCCCAAGGTCACCCAGTGGGTTTATATTATATTACATTTCTAACAGAACAAAGCAAACAAACAAACAGACATAATACAAAATTTGTGAGTTTGGTAGTTGATTAAATGTCCTTTGACGAGTAGCTGGCCACTTGGAGTGCTTCTGGTGTTTCTGCAAGAAGGTCCTCCATTGTGCATGTGGCATGGGTTAAGGGTGCATTGCAGCAGGTGGTCAGTGGTTTGCTCCTCTCCACACTCACATGTCGAGGATTCCACTTTGTAGCCCCATTTCTTAAGGTTGGCTCTGCATCTCGTGGTGCCAGAGCGCAGTCTGTTCAGCGCCTTCCAAGTCGTCCAGTCTTCTGTGTGCCCAGGGGGGAGTATCTCATTTGGTATCAGCCATTGGTTGAGGTTCTGGGTTTGAGGCTGCCACTTTTGGACTCTCGCTTGCTGAGGTGTTCCAGCGAGTGTCTCTGTAGATCTTAGAAAACTATGTCTAGATTTAAGTCATTGATGTGCTGGCTGATACCCAAACAGGGGATGAGCTGGAGATGTCTCTGCCTTGGTCCTTTCACTATTGGCTGCTACTTCCCAACAGATGTCGGGTGGTGCAATACCGGCTAAGCAGTGTAATTTCTCCAGTGGTGTAGGGCGCAGACACCCCGTGATAATGCGGCATGTCTCATTAAGAGCCACATCCACTGTTTTAGTGTGGTGAGATGTGTTCCACACTGGGCATGTGTACTCAGCAGCAGAGTAGCACAGCGCAAGGGCAGATGTCTTCACTGTGTCTGGTTGTGATCCCCAGGTTGTGCCAGTTAGCTTTCGTATGATATTGTTTCTAGCACCCACTTTTTGCTTGATGTTCAGGCAGTGCTTTTTGTAGGTAAGAGCACGGTCCAGAGTGACTCCCAGGTATTTGGGTGCGCTGCAATGCTCCAGTGGGATTCCTTCCCAGGTGATCTCAGAGCTCGGGATGCTTCTCTGTTCTTGAGATGAAAGGCGCATGTCTGTGTTTTAGATGGGTTGGGGATCAGCTGGTTTTCCCTGTAATAGGCAGTAAGAGCACCTAGAGCTTCGGAAAGCTTCTGTTCTACCATCTCAAAGCTCCCTGCTTGAGCAGTAATGGCACGATCCCTGCTTGAGCAGTAATGGCATAGATGAAACTCTCTGTCCCTTCTGGCAGTGGCTGGTCATTTGTGTAGATGTAGATGTAATATAGAAATGTAATATAATTGACTGGCTGCCCTGAAACGAAATTTTAAAAAACCCAGTGGGTTTCTATGGCTGAGATGGGATTTGGACACTAGTCTCCAAAAACATAGTCCAATGCACAACTCATCATGTCAGGCCAGCTTCATATTAAAGTTTGATCATATTATTTTGCATCCTAGGAAATAGAAATGAGAGTTGCCATAATATAACAATTTGAGTACTCCAACTCTGGGAGCCAACCATGGAAACCCACTGGGTGACCTTGGGTGAGTCACGCTCTTTCAGCTTCAGAAGAAATCAAAGGCAAACATCTTTTGATAAGATCACATTAGGGCTGCCATACATTGAAAACAACTTGGAGGTAGATGACAACAACAATGAGGTAAGAATAATCCCATGTGTTGTCAATGGTTTCATGGCCAGAATCACTGGGTTGCTGTGAGTTTTCTGGGCTGTATGGCCATGTTCCAGAAGCATTCCCTCCTGATGTTTAGCCTATATCTATGGCAGGCATAGATGGTTGTGAGGTCTGTTGGAAACAAGGCAAGTGAAGTTTATATATTTGTGGAATGTTCAGGATGGGAGAAAGAACTCTTGTCTGTTTGAGGCAGGTGTGAATGTTGCAATTGGTCGCCCTGAATGGCTTTGTAGTTTCAAAGCCTGGCTGATTCCTGCCTGGGGAAATCATAGAATCATAGAGTTGGAAGAGACCTCATGGGCCATCCAGTCCAACCCCCTGCCAAAAAGCACCTTCCTTTGCTGGAAGGTGTTAGCTGGCCCTGATTGTTTCTTGTCAGGAACTCCCATGTTTTCTGAATATCCCTCTTTATTTACTCTCCTGATTTTAGAGGTTTTTTTTAATACTGGTAGCCAGATTTTGTTCATTTTCATGGTTTCCTCCTTTGTGTTGAAATTATCCACATGCTTGTGGATTTCAGTGACATCTTTGTGTAGTCTGACATGGATAGAAGCCATTGAAATCCACGAGAATATGGACAATTTCAACAGAAAGGAGGAAACAATAAAAATGAACAAAATCTGGCTACCAGTTTTTAAAAAACTCTAACATTAGGACAGCAAATAAACATGAACACTCAGAAAATGGGGGAATTGCAGACAAGAATCAATGAGGGCCAGCTAAGACCTCCCAACAAAGGATTCCCCCAGGCAGGAATCAGGAATAATTCCCCCAGGCAGGAATCAGATTCTTTGAAGCTGCAAGGTCATTCAATGCTAATCAAGGTGGCCAATTGCAACATTCACATTGGCCTCAAGCTAAGACCTCCTAATAAAGGATTCCCCCAGGCAGGAATCAGCCAGTCTTTGAAGCTGCAAGGCCATTAAATGCTAATCAAGGTGGCCAATTGCAACATTCACATTGGCCTCAAGCAGACAAGAGTTATTTCTTCCACTCTGGTCATTCCACAGATATGTAAACTCTATTTTCCTAGTTTTCAACAGACCTCACAACCTCTGAGGATAGCTGCCGTAGATGTGGGTGAAACGTCAGGAGATAATGCCTCTGGAACATAGCCATACAGGCTGAGAAAACTCACAGCAGCTCAGTAATCCCATGCTTCTTCTTGAATAATGATAATTTAAATAACTTTTTGTTGTCTTTCAATGATACCCCAAATCAGCTGCCTGAGTCATTTACTTCATCATGTTTAAGAATAAGTCTAGACTAGGTTTGAATCCTAACTTCATAGCCATGATTATTCTCATTTCGAACATGATGACATGGTTGGGGACACTACCGTTTAAAGGTGGTTCTTGGCAAGGCTTTAACTGCACAGTATCTTTCTTTCATTCAGGTCCATATCTTGTGCATGGTCCAAATCTTGCATTGCCATTGCGCTCAACAAGGGATTTGCTTAAATCAGGCATTGGCAAACTTTGGCCCTCCAGGTGTTTTGGACTTCAACTCCCACAATTCCTAACAGCCTACCAGCTGTTAGGAATTGTGGGAGTTGAAGTCCAAAACACCTGGAGGGCCAAAGTTTGCCCATGCCTGGCCTAATTCGTTCAACAAAGAGCTGAAAGGGAACATGAAGTCCATCTAATCCAACTCCTTGCCATACAATTGTTCACAATTACAGCACTAATAGTGTTTATCCTCCTATTCCACCTTTCTGAGTTGGTGCAAAGCAACGTCCTATATGACTGTAAGGCACAGAAATCGAACTATTTGCACACGTATGGTCCGGCGGACATGCCAACCTGAAATGCCATGGAATTGGCTATCGCCAGGAATATCCGCAAAGGCAGCTTGGCTTTGTAGGACCTGTGACTCCACAGACGGTGGGCGCCTGCGGTCACGCCCAGGGCACACATGACGAAACAGAGGTAAGCTGAAAGACATGAAAGAGAGATTTTATTTATTTATTTATCGTGTCAGGAGCAACCAGACATTTGTATTACATTTTTAACAAAACAAACAAACAGACAAAACACAAGGTTTGCAAGCTTGGTAGTTGATTAAATGTACTTTGACCAGTATCTGGCCACTTGGAGTGCCTCTGGTGTTGCCGCAAGAAGGTCCTCCATTGTGCATGTGTGCATTGTGCAGCATGTAAAAATGGCAAAGCAGCTGGCCTGGATGATCTACGGATGGAACAAATCAAGAACTTTGGCCCGAAAGCAAGGCGCTGGCTTCTGGAGCTGATGAACAACTGCACTGCATCCTGTCAGATCCCCAAAATCTGGAGGAAAGCAAGAGTCATCACCATCTTGAAGCCAGGCAAAGACCGTAATGACCCAAAAAGCTATCGGCCAATCTCCCTGTTGTGCCACCTCTACAAAGTTCTGGAGAAACTTATTTTGCATAGAATTATGGAAAAAATATACCCATGTCTGATTCCACAGCAAGCTGGCTTCAGGAAAGGCAAAAGCTACACATCGCAAGTGCTGAACCTGACTCAGCACATAGAAGATGGCTTTGAAAGAGTGATAATGACAGTTTTATTTCAAAAGTGACAATCGAAAGCTCACTCTCTCATTGGTGTCCGTGAGTACATAAAGTAGGCACAGCTGGCTGACCTAATGGTAGATGTGCAAGGAATCTGCTCCAGGGTTTAGACCAGTGTTTCTCAACCTTCCTAATGCCGCGGCCCCTTAATACAGTTCCTCATGTTGTGGTGACTCCCAAACATAACATTATTTTCGTTGCTACTTCATAACTGTAATTTGCTACTGTTATGAATCGTAATGTAAACATCCAATATTTATTTATTTATTTATTTACGGCATTTATATGCTGCCCTTCTCACCCCAAAGGAGACACAGAGTGGCTTACAAGATATATTTTCATACAATATATTATATTATTGACATAGTTCAATATCAGTATTATATATTACTATATTGCATTATACCATTATATTGTAATATTACATGTAAATATATAATTATAATATTGCATTATTATTACTAGTATTATATTGTATTGCATTATGCAGGATGTATTTTTATTCACTGGACTAAATTTGGCACAAAACCCAATATGCCCAATTTTGAATCCTGGTGGGGTGAGCAGGATTTATTATATCATTTGGGAGTTGTAATTGTTTGGAGTTATAGTTCACCTACAATCAAAGAGCATTCTTAACTCCACCAATGAGGGAATTGGACCAAACCTGGCACACAGAACTCCCATGACCAACAAAAAATACTGGAAGGGTTTGGTGGGCATTGACCTTGAGTTTTGGAGTTGTAGTTCACCTACATCCAAAAAGCACTGTGGACTCAAACAGTGATGGATATGGACCAAACTTGGCACAAATATTCAATATGCCCAAATTTGAATACTGGTGGAGTTTGGGGAAAACAGATTTTACATTTGGGAGTTGTAGTTACTGGGATTCATAGTTCACCTACAAATAAAGAGCATTCTTAACTCCATCAATGATGGCATTGGACCAAACTTGGCACACAGAACTCCCATGACCAACAGAAAATACTGGGTTTGGTGGGTATTGACCTTCTGTTTTGGAGTTGTAGTTCACCTACATCCAAAGAGCACTGTGGACCCAAACAGTGATGGATCAGGACCAAATTTGGCACGAATTCTCAATATGCCCAAATGTGAATACTGGTGGAGTTTGGGGAAAAGCGATTTTATGTTTGGGAGTTGTAGTTACTGGGATTCATAGTTCACCTACAAACAAAGAGCATTCTGAACTCCACCAATGATAGAATCGGGCCAAGCTTCCCACAGAGAACCCCCATGACCAACAGAAAATACAGTGTTTTCTGAAGGTCTTTGGTGACCCCTCTGACACTCCCTCGTGACTCTCCCAAGGGTCCCGACCCCCAGGTTGAGAAATGCTGGGCTGGATAGTAACGTTAAAGATCAGACAAAAACTAGAGTGGCTCCCACAACAGACCCTTTAAAAAACCTAAAAGCAGCACTGCATAGCATTCAAAAGTCCAGCTCTAGTTGGTTTGCAAAAGTCTGATGCTTTGACCTGCTGCCAGAAGAAGAGCAAGGATGAGGGTCATTCATGCCTCTCTAAGAAGGAAGATTTAAAATCTGGGACAAACAAGAAGGATACAATGCCAAGGATTTCATTACACAAACAAATAGAAAGCAATCTTGTGCTGAGTAAAGTTTTTAACTTGGCAACCAAGCAATGCTGACATTTACCTTCCAAGGTCCCTCCGGTCAAGAGGTTGTCCTTTCCCGTGGACTGAAGAATTAGAGAGAGAAAGAGAGAGAAAGCTCCCTGCCTGCCTTTTCGTATCTAAACCAATCAGCAAGAAATCTGACACTTGAACGACATTTGCTCTTTTCTCACCTAGATATTTGCAAAGACACAAAATGTCACTCCTGTCTTTTCCGCTGGGCAAAAAGGGTGCATTGGCTGTAATGTCACTGTGCAAAACAGACTTACAGATAGAGAAGAAACAATGTATTGTCAAAGGCTTTCGTGGCTGGAATGGAGCTCCCAGTGGCACAATGGGATTGAAAGGCCAGCAGTTTGAATCCAGGGAGCAGGGTGAGCTCCTGTCTGTCAGCTCCAGCTTCCCATGCGGGGATAGGAGAGAAGCCTCCCACAGGATGGTAAAACATCCAGGCTTCCCTTGGGCAACATCCTTGCAGGCAGTCAGTTTTCTCACACCAGAAGCGACTCGCAGTTTCTCAAGTCGCTCCTGATACAAAAAAAATAAATAAATGCCTGGAATCACTGAGTTGCTGTGAGTGTTGTGAGCATACTCCAGCAGCATTCTCTCCTGATGTTTCACTTGCATCTGTAGCTAAAGGCATCTTCAGAGGCTTATCTTCAGAGGCTAGCATCTTCAGAGGGAACCAGGTGAAACCAGATGCAGGTGAAACATCAGGAGAAAATGCTGCTGCAACATGGCCATGCAGCTGACAAAACTCACAGCAACCCAGTGATTCCAGCCACAAAAGCCTTCGACAATACATTGTTTATTCTCTGAAGATGCCAGCCACAGGTGCAGGTGAAATGTTAGGAGAGAATGCTACTGGAACATAGCCATACAGGCCCCAAAACTCAAAGCAACCCAGGAGAAGAAACACATTGGGCCTATATTTTAATACAAATATACCTAACTTTGCACATCTGAACCATGATGTGAAACATGAAACTCACCTAACCTTCAAAATTCTCACTTCTCTGAAACTTATTATGCCCATTTTTTCAAAAAGCATACTAATGGTTTTCAATTGTTTTAAACTGTTTTTACTGATTTTAAATGTCATTTAAGCTTGTGAAATCCTTCAATAGCTCTTTCAGTCTTTTTCTTGCTTTTTGGCTCTTTTCTAGCCTTCTATTGTTTGAAATTGATTTTGTTGTATGCTGCTCATGCGATACACACAGGGATGCAAACATTTAAATCAATATTTACAGTCGAAAGATGCAACACAAACACACCTATATCCATCCCCTAAACAAAATAAGATAGAATACTAGAATCATAGAGTTGGAAGAGACCTTGTGGGTCATCCAGTCCAACCGCCTGCCAAGAAGCAGGAAAATCACATTCAAAGCACCCCTGACAGATGGCCAACTAGCCTCTGTTTAGAAGCCTCCAAAGATTATCACAGGTTGAGCAATCACCTGCTTCTCAAAAGTATTATCTTGCTTTGATGGGAATGTAACCCTTCTTTTGCAATCTCATCTGGTTAAAATACAGATGAGTTATGTGTCTCTCCAGATGATGTTGGATTGTAGCTCCCATAATCCCTCAACTATGCTGGCTAAAGATGATGGATGCTGCACTCAAACAACATCTGGAGCAAAGATCATTTGGTCATTTGGTCTGCAACTCCCAGAATACTTCAAAGATCCAGCAGTTGGAAGATTTTCCAAGCTCTGGCCTAGATGATCATATATATTTTTCAGCACTTGCAAGAAAAAGCTTCCACTGTCCTACCACCCGGTCTAGGAAGACCTTTTTGAAGATACCCAAATCTAATTTCCCATTTCCTTCCCAAAACTTTCCAAGGAACGGCTCTGCTCTGCTATCCCTGCTTTCCATTGCTGTTATATCAATTTGAGCACAGCAAGTACAGTGAGAAATCCCACTGTGCACCGGCTTCTCGTGCGTCAGCGAAAAGACTTTTATCCGTGCTCTGCTTTCAGATATGTCAATTTCGCTCATCATACATGGGAAGGAAAACAAGGTCACAGCATTACACATAGATTCTGAACCATTAAGAAGTCTGCATCTGGTAAAGATTTGTTCTCCGCCAATTACACAATATATAGCCTCCTCCAGATGGGGCAAATGCATTGGCAGGACGTGATACTGGATGCTGTAATTCACAGAGTTTGAAAAGAAATACCCAGACGACATGTAGTAGTTTGAGAGTTGAGAGACAACTCAACAATCCAGAGTTCAAATCCCTGTTCAACCTGACCTTGAAGTAGTCACAATCTCTCAGCCCCAGAAAACCCCATGAAAGGTTTGCCATAAGTCAGGAAGGGCTTGAAATGGAAGGAAGGAAGGAGAAAAAGAAGGGAAAGAAAGGAAGGGAGAAGGAAGGAAGGAAGGAAGGAAGGAAGGAAGGAAGGAAGGAAGGAAGGAAGGAAGGAGGGAGGGAGGGAGGGAGGGAGGGAGGGAGGGAGGAAGGAAGGAAGGAAGGAAGGAAGGAAGGAAGGAAGGAAGGAAGGAAGGAAGGAAGGAAGGAGGAAAAGAAGGGAAAGAAAGGAAGGGAGAAGGAAGGAAGAGGTATCAAGAATAAAAAATAACTCTCCTTCTTTTCTCTCCTTTACCTTTGTTTATTATTCCCCTTGATTATAATGCTTCAGTGCAATTTCTTGGGCTGGATCTTCACCGCCATATAATACAGATTATCAAAGCAGATAGTCCAGACTATCTGCTT